AGAGAGAGAGAGCCCTGCTGCATGATCTCCTTTCACGCCCAAAAAGCGCACGATCTGACCAGGATTCAGAACGTTCGGAAGCGAGCTCAGATCTATTCCGGGGGCTGCGCGCGCGTGTGGCACGCGGCCCATTAAACATTGGCCCCAGCGGCGCGCTGCTCCTCCTCGAAGGCCTCATCCGCCGCATCCAGCAGGGCGATGGCCGCGTCGGCCCCAGAGACAGCCTCATCCTCATCAGCGGCCTGCTCCTGCTCCTCCTGCTCCTCATCGCCGGATGAGGAAGCAGTCGACCCGGCATCCGAAGAGTCACTGGAGGACGCGCCGCAAGAGGACCCGGCCGTGTCGGCGTCGCTGTCGGCCACCTCCTCGGGCTGGGTGGTCCCGGCAGTGGCCCCCACCTCCTCCTCGTCGTCGGTGGTGGCGGCGGCGGCCGCGGCGTCCTGGTGCTGCTCGGCGGTCACCGGCTCATCGGCAGCCGGCACGTCGGTGGCTTTCGTGGCCTCGGCCGGCGGCAGCGTCTGCATGGCCTCCTCACAGGCATCGGTCTCCGCCCCGGCTTCGAGGGACACCTCCGGGAGTTGCAAGGCCGAGGTCTCCTCTTCCTGCTCGGGTTGCTCGTCGGCCGTCGCGGCCTCATCCTCGGTGTGGGCATTGTCCTCGACTTCCCCAATCGCCCCGACTTCGGCAGAGGTCTCGGCGGTCTCGACGGCCTCGACGTCAGCTTCAACAACCTCGACGTCAGCTTCAACAACCTCGACACCGGCCCCGGGGTCAGCCTCAGCGGCCTCGGGACTGGCCTCGGCGGCCTCGGGACTGGCCTCAGCGGCCCCGGCACCAGACTTAGGCTGGCTACCATTGCCGAACATTTCAGACGCCGACCAGAGACTGTGCGCAGACCACCCGCCAGAGGGTCAGGAACATGCGAGAGAAGAGCTAGATGTACATATAGGCAAGCAGCGCGTACCCCTGGTCCAAGCCAACAAAGTCCAGCAGCGAGGTGATGTCGGTGCCAGCCGCACCGGCCGCCAGCACCGAGCTGGTCGGAGATAGAGCCACATGCGCATGGGGCGCCTCGCCGGCGAAGGACTTGGCCAGCTGCTCATAAGCCACAAACTTCACCTCGGCCGTATTCTGGCCGAGGCACACGGACCAACAGGTGGCATGTCAGTTGCCCCGGAGTAAAACCCATGCGAAAGGCAAGGTCAAGCTGCCCCCCCCCCCCTCCCCCTCTGCGTGACTGGGAAAGCAAAAGGACACACGCACATTGGTGTTCTGCCGAGTGGGCCCGGACTTGGCCACGGCCGCTGTGGCGGCGGCCAGCGTCACGCTGGAGGCCGCTCGCTGGGTCAGCTTGGCCGCCGGAGCCGACGGCCCCGGGCCAGCCGTGGCCAAAAGCATGGTGCTCATGCGTGGCATGCTGATGGTGAGGCGGTTGCTGTCAAGGCCCTTCGGGCCGGTGGCCGTCGCCGCGACCGGCGCGCCGAACATGCTGTACAGGCTGGTCCGCCGGGAAAGAGTGGCCCCCGAAGCCGAAGCCCGGAACTCCGGCCGAGTCTTGGTCACCAGCGCCGCGAGAACCAGACGCGCCTCGTCCGAGTGGGACAGCGGGCCGGCCTCCGCGGTGCCGAGCTCATCGGCCGAGCAGGCCAGCGCCGACGCCAGACCCACCCAATCAAACGGAACCAAGGGGGCCGAGGCACTACATGTTGCCATGCCGCGGCCGAGAGATGAGGCACCAGGGGGGACAGCACGGCATGCGGTCAGTGGTTGAGGGCGGCAGGGTCACCAGCACAGGGAGAGCAGGGAGAAAGCAATGTGCATGTGCGTGTGCGCGCAGGGAGGAGAGACAGAGGAGGAGGAGGAGGAGGAGGAGGAGGAGGAGGAGGGCGAGAGCCGTACGTCACATCCTGCGGGGCGAAATCCGTGCCAGCAACCACCGGCAGGGCGACGCCCACATCAGTCAGGTATGCCTCAAACTCCGGCAGGGCGGCAGCCAGCGCGGCCAGATCCACCGCCGCCCCGGTGGCCTGGACCAACTGCGCCTGGACACCCGTCGGCACGGGGCACACCGTGGCCGGCACCAGAGCGCCCAGCCGGCTCAGGTACAGACACGCAACCAGAGCCAGGAGGTTGCGCGTGTGCCCCGCCCGGGCCGAGAGCGAGGTGGACGCCGAGTCGGCCGTCGCGGCCAGTGCCGCCACCACACAGGCCACAGCCAGCCCGCCCGCCGCAGACAGGCCCGCCGGGTCGCCCGTACCATCGGACGCCGCGGCCGCCGCCTGCAGCCCGGTGTAGTCGGCCAAGGCCACCGCAAGGCCAAGGATGTCGCCCACCGACAGGGGATCCGCCCCGGAAGCCGGACCCGAAGTGAGGGTCAGCTCCCGACTGAAGACCGACGTCAGGGACACGAGCAAGCGCGCGCCATGTGCCTTGGCAAAGGCGTCCAGCACCGGCTGCTCCGGGCGCTGGCCGTCTGGCATCGCATCGCTCATCGAGCGGAGGAGCTCGTGCAGCAGCGCATGCGTGCAACTCCGAGCGGCTGAACAGAGCACCATGTTCTTATGTATGTATGCATGTGTGTGTATCTGAGCGAAGCATGCGTTGCTCCTGTCGAGAGGGAGTGCGGCCAAAAGGACGGCAATTGTCCGAGCAGCTCTCCCCCCCGCCCCCGCCCCCCATCGCCCTGTGTGCGCACCAAAGTTCCGGCTCGAGAGATTCCCCACCGTCAGGCTGAAGAGCTGGCTGGCCGAGCTCGGCAGCGGGCTGCACCAGTCGTGAGGCTGCACCGAGGAGCCTGGGCAATTCGCCCGACAGTGCCAATCAACATCGGCAAACAGTGACCCCGATGGCCGCATCCAACTCGGTGCCAGTCAGGGCCATTATGATGCAAAGGGCTGACAATGAGCAGGCCAGCCGGTCGGGCAGGGTGCCAACATAGTGAATCAGCAATTCAACCAGCGACAGCAGGAACCAGCACAGTATGTTGACCGTTGGCTCCTGATGTTCCGCCCATAACGGATTGGCGTAGGTCGGCGGCAGCTCTAGACATCTCTGAGATACGTGCGGGCAGCATGCCCCGCATCCTTGTGAAGATGCGTAGGTGCACCCGTGATGGATATCTCAGGGACCCGTGTCCCAGGCAGCACTCCGACACTTGGACCGTGGGCATACGCATCGGCGATGGGTTGACGCCGTGGCCTCCGACACCGGTCTCCGAGGAACTACTGCCGAAGGACCGCACGCTGCTGGCCGAGGAAAGGGGCGACCGGTCGGCGCTCAGGGTATCACTCACCAGCAGGACAACCCACTGGTACTCACCCCGGGCCGGCTCCTCCCCACCAAGGTCCGCCAGGCACAGCAAATGGTCTTCGGTTTGCGGCAGGGCGAAGGACGCCGGCGACTCCATGGCCTTGCCGTAAACCGGCGGGATTATCGCATCGAAGCCTTTCCCCCGAGACAGCACCATACCCAGCATATCGCACAGGAGGCTGCCTTGTCCCAGGTCGTCAGCCCTAAATACGTCGATCCGGTCGATCAGGCAAGCCGACAGAGCATGGGAGTTGCTTGCCTGTGCATGTAAGCATGTGTGTGAAAAGGCAGTGGGAGGGCACATCCACCGAGGGACTTCTGGTACTGGGCGATCAGATGGGCAGCAAAGCCGCGCGGCCGGTCCCAGTTGGCCAGATCCTCGAGCCAGCTGGGGTGCATCGTGAGCATGGCCCAGGAGGAGGTGGCCCGGGGAGGCAAGAGAGGGGTATATCGCAATCACTGGGGTTAAGGGGGAATGTTGTGGCAAGGGGGGAAGGGGGGGGGGAAGGAGATCAGAGAAGAAACGCACGCCACGGTCGGGTCCAGCAGCCACTTGATGGTGGTCACATCGGACTGGCTGGCCAGGTGTTGCAGGGTCCGCAGCGCGTGGTACCCGAGCATGCGGCGATGGAGCTCGGTACTGGATGGCAAGCATCAGCAAGGGGGAGCAAAACACAGCAGACAGAGCAAGCAGGGGACACCCCCAGCACACGACGGTCAGCACTGACGCCCTTGTACAGAGGAAGGAGGAAGAGGAAAAAAATCACCCAATCAACCATCATGCTGGCTGGAGCAGGCGAGAGGGAAGCGCACAGGGTCGAGTTGGTCTCCGAGAAGTTGCCAGCGGCCCCTTCGGCGCCGATGGCCGCTACGGTGCCCTGGAAGAGGCGAGCATTGGCCGAGCTATGGGCCGCGTCCCACACGACCCCCATCAGGGCCGACACCACACGGCCATAGATGACCGGGGTGTCGTTGCGCCGCAGAGGCGAGGCAGCCCCAAGGCAGATGGCACGCAGGGCCGTCAGAGCCAGGCGCGAAATGGCCCGGTCATTGGCCGTCGGGGCCGCCGGGCGGTTTAGCAGCGCCGTGTAGCTGGCAATCAGCCGCTCGATGAAGGGAGCAAAGTTCGACTGGAGCAGCGGGTCCTCGCTGGCCGGCACGCGGACCGCCACCAAGGGGAGGAGCTACGGCACACGGATGCCAGAATCTCGGTCAGGTGGGGGGGTGGGATGGCAGAGATATGTCAAGTAAAGGGGGTGGGGGAGACCACCCAGCGGTGCAGCGCGCACCAACGACGTGGCCATGCGGACATCCTCCAGCGGGATGTCGGATGTGGCCGAGCTGGGCAGCGGCAGACCATCGGCCGACATGCACCGGAGCAGGTAGCAGATCACCTCCAGGATCTGCTTGCCGTAGATGGAGCCGTAGCTGGCGGCGGTCTTGGCCACGATGGCATTGATCATATGGACATAGGTCTCGGTGATGCTGGGAGGCGAGCGAGACGAGGGGAGGACGGAGGGAAGGTGGGTGAGCGACAGGACATGGGCTTGCCAGGGTGGCAGGGGGGGGGGGGGGGGGGGGGAGAGCAGGGAGGGGGCAGCCATGCCCATGCGAGATGGGGGGACGCACGGCAGCTCACGGGCACGGTGGCTCTTGAACAGGCTCGCCTGGATGAAGAGCATCAGCCGGGACAACTTCTCCGGCCGGGTGGATGCATAGTGGACCAGCTGGGCCAGCTGGGTCTCATCCATGTGGCTCTTTGGCTCCCCCTTCGGGGGGAGCACCGCGAGGACCAGGCGTTGGTGCTGTGCGAGGGGGGCCGGAGGAGGAGGAGGAGGAGTGTGAGACGCGGTCCACAGCGCGAGGGAACAGGAGGCACAGGCGATCGCAGGCGCACATTCTTCTTATAGAGGGCCGACATCGTCTCTTGGCGCAGCGGAGTGTGCGTGCTGCGCGAGTGTACACAGGGGCGCGTGTGCGATGAGTGGTGGAGGCTGATCGTGTCAGCAGGGTGCGATGGGTGGAGAGAAGGCGGAAGGGGGCCGGAGGAGGCAAGGACAGGGAGGGCGAGGCACAGGGGAGAGATCTCAGATGGCAAGTACGGAGGCGCGCGTGTCGGGGATGGGGTGGAGAAGAAGAACGGGGGGGGGGGGAGAAGAGTGGTGAATCCCAGGCCGGGCACTGAGCCCCGCGCCCGGGGCCGTCTTCAGAGTGGGCGCCTTGGCTTTCCTCAGGTCGGCTGTTGACTGGGCGGTGCTGCCCCCCAGAGGGCCCCGCCCCCGCCGTGTTGCCCCATCAACACGCGCCCGGCTGTTTGCCCCTCTATGGCGAACGGCGCGCCAACTGCATTCGCGGGAGGGGGAACGTTTTTTTCAACCCCCAGCCAACATTTGCTGCGTTTCCGCCGGCGGCCGCCTTTCACTGCTCCGCCCGCGGAACACCGACCCGGGGGAGAGGGACACAGGGCGGCCGGGGGACCGAGGGGAGAAGAATGGCAGGCGCGAACGCGCGCATACACCAGCAACAGAACATTTGCGGTCGGCGCGCACGGCAACGCGATGGACAGAGAACTCCTGCAACTGAGACAGAGAGAATGATGTTCATCCTCGCCGATCGAGTTAATGACACCAGTTAACACAGGAGGTTGATCGGCCCTCGATCGGCCCCGCTTCGGTGCCTGGGGGGCGGGACGCCCGCCGCGGAGCTGTGCCAGCACACTGGGTGGCCTGCTCTCTTCAAGGTGGTCTCATGCGAGCCAGCCCCCTTTTGCTTCCACTGGCCCCCCGACGTATACACAAGCCGGCCGAGCCCCGGCTGCCCATGGACGCCTGCCGCGCCGCATCTTTTGGTGGGGTTGTCTATATTGCTATGAAGGGGTGAGGTCCTGGCCCGGAGCAGGAGCAGGAGCAGGAGAAACACAGGGGGTGGGTTGCCGACACTTGATCTTTTCGACACCCGGGGGACAGGCAAACGATCCGCGGCGCAAGAAGGACGGCACGGAGAAAAGAAAGCCAAGGGATCCGAGAAGGAGGAATGGCCAACAGGAGGCCGAGAGGAATGGGGGGGGGGGGCAGGAGGCGAGACAAAAAGAGGAGCAGCAGCAGGAGGGAGAGGAGGAGGAGGAGGAGGAGGGAGCGCGCCTGGCCC